CTGTTGAATCTTTGTTTAATTGTTTTATACTGTCGATCGACTTTAACAGTAACACTCGTTCAGTCGTTGCCCGAGTATTTATAAAGATTGATTTCTACTCTGTTTCGACAAAGAGACAACGAAAGCACATGATATGCGGCTTCTTGAGCAGACATTAAATTACTATTCAAAAATACTTTAGTCACTGTACACAATTTTTCTTTAATACTTTTATTGTTGTTGTCGCAATTCGCGGCGGCTTCTCTCAAAAGCTTGGATTGTCCTCCCTCTATCTTACTATTATAATTAGTAACATAGCTTATTACTGCATATTCGTCTAATATGATCTGAAGATCCATATTGGACTCAAATTTTAGTATATTGGAATTGTAAGCTACTTCTAGACTAGATCTTTTTAAAAATACGCGTCTTTGTTTCAATGAACGACGGATAGACAATATATATTCAGTTTCGTTCATTCCCTATTCTTTTAAAATATCCTCGTAACTCATATATTTATTATCTCTGTGCAATTTATTCATTAGATCGCGTATTGTTTTATATTGTTTAGTTGATTTTTCATCTTTACTTAGCGGCTCTAATATCATTGTCCTTTTCATAACTGGATATGGAATATGGAAACGGTATTCCTTGTTTCGCTGTCCTTTGTAACATGTCCTTCCATGTTTATGTATTTGCAGTTTGAAATATGAATTATCAGGATTATATTGAGACGTAATGAATAAATAAAATTTTTATTATTGCTTTCATCACAATTTGTCTCATATTTTGGTGCATTATTTAGCCATAATAATATGTGCTCATGGGGGCTGCCGCGCTGTTGGAACTCGACTCGTTCGTAGCTGTCTACAACCTCGTACACGCCAAAAATACTGTTTGTTTGTCGCAGCAACCACATAAATTTGTTAACTTTGTGGTCAAAATATCTGGCGCAAGTAACTGGATCGTTCCTAATCGATGAGGTTTTCGTATTATAATTCACCTAGAGATATTTTTATTGTATTCGCGGTATTTAATTGATGTTTTCAATAACTCAGGCCATTGTGACTCAGCAGCAGATAACTAGGCTCCAAAATATTTTTTGTGTCAGCAATAAACACTGAGATCTGGGAATAGCAAATGGGTAACCACGAAAGTCCGGTTCAGGTAGTAAGTGCGTTAATTATGATGAACCGAGGATTGGACGTACCTTATAAGTCTTCTCTGAAGACGAGTGATTATGGTGCTGCGTCAAAATCTATATTTCTTAAATCCTCAAAAAATAAAACTGCTTCTTTGTCTTCATCTCAATCGTCGTAGGTCACCAATGTGAGAATCGTTATGTATACGAAAGTATAAACTTCACTTGCATAAAATTATATAAAATTTATTCATTATAAAATATTACTGATATGAAAATATAAATGACAAGTCCAATTGTTTTTCTACAATCACTAGCCTGCTTGATTTCCCCACAAACTGATAAACAGTATTCAGCATTGCCACACTTGTGCAATTGAGTTATTGGAAGATTCAATTGGCAAAGATGAAGCTTCTTGGATTGAATATGAGGATTACGCAGGAAATTGTCTGAAGGTTCCAGGTACAATTTTTTTTTATTTATTTTAAAAATGTTGTCAAGTATTGGATCATTTCATACAGACACTATGCACTGCAGACAATATTAAACTAAAACTATTAGAAACACTAGAAAAGTATGTTCTTCATTAATTTAGTTTCAGTTGCACTAAGCATAATTCAAAAGCCATTTTTTTTTTCAAATCTATTGGTGCAACAGTGTTAATATCGATGTCACACGGGAAGATATGTCGATTCTAATGAACAAGATATAATAAAAAGAAAAGCTATGGATAAATATAATAAAAATCTGAAGTCTAGAAGAGCTTTCTGGCGACAAAAAACCCTTATGTTTAATTTTTTTATTTGCTTTTGTGACCTTTTTTTTACAACTCTTATTCGCTCGAAGAACATTCTTTTTCAGTATCTTTCAGGATAGTCATTAGTCTACATTATATGTATTATGTCTATATGAAATGTTACTTATACTCATTTTTCTGTTACCTGACAAAATTATATGTATAAGCTTTGATTCAATTTCAAGATCATTCATTCTTATGGTGATAAATTACTATAAAAAGTGTTTCTCTCAAATTCATATGTTGTTCTTATTTATATTTATTGTTGAATATTTCATCTGCATTGACGTCCACAAGCCATGCAATTTTTTGTATGTACATTTTTATTTATGTTGATTAATTGGGGGACTGGTGATACTATCAAATCAAATAGTTGATACTTGAACTGTATGCAATATTCATATTTTTTGTGATTGTTTCATGAATGTGGTTTTATTTATAAATTTATAGTGATACATAATGAGGTTGTTAAATGTTTTAGCAAAAGTGGAAATTGTAAATAAGTTGCTATTTCGTGGAGTATATTTTGCTATACAGTTTATTTCCGTTTATTATTGGTGATAATACGTTTAACAGATGTCGAGAAGTATATAGATCATGAATTGTACTATAATTTACTGGATAACAGCAAACTAGTTTTCAAATGTCATCCCCATATAGTAATTCATTTTAGTAAGCTGTTGATATGCTTTTCAGATGCAAGTAATTCTGGTTTTATCCTTTAATTAAATTGGCAAAAGTGTTTGCATATAACTTTCTTGAACTTTTGTCAGTTACTGTTATGACAACATAATGATTTCTTTTTCTTTGTGATAATGATGATAATGATATTTCGTTCAACATTTTAAAGCAGATTAACACAATGTGCAGAAAAGGTTTTCAGATAGAGACTATACATAGATTTAATGTAACTTTATCATTATTTGATTGAACACCAAGATAAATATAAACAGAGTTAATTTATAAGAATATCTTAGGCATAAATTATATTCCTTATTTTTTAATATGTTCCTCTTTTTTGATTGCAATATAAATTTATGACCTTGTTGAATTGTTGTTGCTGGGATTTGAAGTTAACTTTAGAGCGCATGAAGAGAGATCTAGTAACTTCTATCTCTTGTTTGTTTTTTATTATTTGGATCCATTCTCCATGTCTAAATGATAATATCTAAATTATATTTATATTTTCTAGAAATCTAGAAATATATATATATATATATATATATATATATATATATATAATTTAGACGGTTTGTTGGCATGAACTGCTAGAGCAGTTTTGTGAGCTGAGTTAGTTCGATCTCAAATCAGGGAAGAATGGTGTGTGATATCGTCCATTGCCATTTCATTATACAGTGCCTAAAATGGGCTATTTTGGATAAGTAATTACTTACTTAACACAAGGCATTAAAGAACCATGTTTACTTATATACATGATGACTAATACGCACATTTGTGTATATTTCTATGCATTTCGTACATAGTTTATAAAGCTTACTACCATCTATTATTGTAATCATATATGATGTTGTTATATACAATATTAATATAACAAAATATATCATGTACAAACATTTATGCACATTTTTATGCTATCTGTGCATTGTTTATAAAGAGAACTACTTACGATATATTTTCATATAATCTAAAATATTATTGTTAAAAATAAATGCTTTTTAAAATTCAATTTCTTTTTTTTTAATTTTGAATTTATAAAGAGAACTACTTACTATGTAGTGTTCATATAATGTAAAATATTATTGATAAAAATAAATGCTTTTTAAAATTCAATTTCTTTTTTTTTAATTTTGAACTCAAACGGCCTACAATATTGGTGCATTTCTTTAGTATTTTTTGTACGCACCCGTTCTACGGTCGACGCGTGCGCACCAAGGGAGAGCAGCTGGAACTTGGTGTCAGTTGGCAACGAAATATGGCTCGAGAGAGCGATCTATATACTCTTCTTTTATCTATGACTGGACAGTCCAGTGTCCCAGCCCTGGCATAGGCATATCTACAGCTTTGCTCTATGGCAACTTTCATTGGCAACACTGCTAGAAGGTGAAAGTGAATAGGAAGCAAAGCTTTATTTTATTTTTGAGAGTTCACGCGTATCCACGAGTTTCCCTACTATAATAAATTAGATTTTTGTGCAGACGTCCCGGAGTTTATGTAAATTACTATAATAATTTAGGCATTTATGCCTGTTTGTATCAGAATTCTGATAAAGATATCTTTCCACAAAAGAGTGAATTATCAGTATTTACAAGTTTGTTTGTATTTCATATAAAGTTCTTCATTTATCATTACAGTTATTCACTATGTCTGGAAAGTTTAGAAATGTTAACAAATGCGCCATAATTTGTTCTTCATAAAGAAGTTGGACCTGGCACTGCTAAGTACGGGCTTCAAGATGAAGATTTTATATTAATAATCATAACAAAAATGCAATGTAGAATATTGAAGAACTTTGGTACTGACAGAGTTTGTATTGATAGTCATGGGACGAATGGCTATAACACTGCTTGTGGTAGATGAATTTGGAAGCGGCATACCAATCGCATTTTGGTTTTCAAATAGGCAAGATGAGTTGATGTGTAAAATATATTTCGAAGATATTTATAAGAGGGTAGGTATACTTGAAACAAACGTATTCATGACAGAGGATGCTCCAGCTTATTTTAATGCATGGTCATCTGCCATGGGTGTGCCACAGCATGAACATTTATGCTCCTGACATGTGTCCAGGAGCTGGAAGGGAGCAGTATCACATAGGATTGTAAATAGAGAAAAGCGAGAAGTCATTTACCAGAAATCAATAGAATTAAAAATGATTTTTGGAGCAATTTAAATTCTTATTTGAATGAGCTTGAGAAAGATGACGATGCTAAATTATTTGTTACATATTTTAAGAAATTTTATTATAACCGAGCAACTACTTGGGCGTATTGTTATCGGAAAGGTTTAGGAATAAATACTGACATGTTTTTAGAAAGTTTTCATAGCCAAATGAAAACTCGAGTTTTGGGAAGAAAGTGTTCTAGGAGGATGGATAAGGCCATTCAATTGGTGTTACGCCTCGAAATGAATACTTTTATTCAAAGGACCCGTAGAGTAAATGGAACATTACCGTCGACAAGGCAGAAAGATGTACGTGTAACCCATGTAAGAGGTACAGCAGTATTGCCGCATCGTATTCTAGAATGCATTCCCAACACACAATGGAATGTATTTCCAACAGATGATACCGTTGCACCATACGTGGCTATAAAAAAAAATCAAACATGTAATAGTACATGCATGAGATGCGAAGGATGTAAGATTTGTTTGCATACGTACACATGCAGTTGCATAGATTATTTGATAAGATCAAATATTTGCAAACACATCCACGCATGTGTAAGGGTTTACAAAATGAAGGGCGTTAGTTTATGCTTCGACACGATAAAATTGCTGTATCAAAAAGAGGAGCGTGTATCATCGCTCCTGCCGGTTCTTTATGAAGATAGTGGAAACGTGAAGGAATACTTCCTACATTTTTTTAAAGATCAAGAAATAAGATTTTATAGTTACAAAAAGGTAATGTTAAATATTTATAATAATACATAAATACATAGCAATCAGCTATTATAATATTATTAATTATTAGTTTAGTCCACAGACGATGCGAGTTGGGGCGGCGGCAGAGGAAACAACCGCGGCGGCGGAGGAAACAACCGCGGCGGCATAGAAAACAACCGCGGCGGCATAGAAAACAACCGCGGCGGCATAGAAAACAACCGCGAGGGAAACAACTGGGGCGGCAGAGGAAACAACAGTGGCGGTCGCGGAAATTACCGCAGAGACAACCGCGACGGCCGCGGAAGCAACCGCGATGGGCAAAGAAACGATCGCGGCGGCCAGGGCGGTAACGATAGGATAGGAACTCCAATTCCAATGGTACGGCTGTACAATTTGTTAAAATTAAATTTAAGTAAGATCAATTATTTCTGAAATAAAAAGATTCATATCATCGTGAACCAATTAACATTTAAAATAAACTGAGTAATTTAAAGGAAGCATTTTTATGTGACCATAAATATTAAAAATGATAACTTTGTTCTAGATTTATCATCAGCTATAAAATATATAGCACATTAATTTTTGTTCTAATGATTTAACCGAATTCAATATTTTTAATCAATTTTGCAATAACTGTTTAACTAACACAGAAAAATTGCAATGAAATTTTCATAAAATGACTTCCCTAAACAGACTGATGATTATAGTTGTGGGCTTTTCACAATTAAAAACGCATCCTGTTTATTACAGAACATTGAATTAAATTATACAATGTAACCTAGTACATATAGAGAAGAATTAATGACAAACTTTTTAAAAAGTATCTCACCGGTACAAAACATTTGTCCAATTTGTACCTCTTCTAGCGATTCGCGATTGGTCAAAATCAAAATTGTAAATAATGAATCAAAAATTGAATAAATCATCATATTCAAAACTAGATTAGTAATTTCATAATAAAATAAGCTACCTATATTTTTGTTGATATACGATACACTATGTTACCCTAATCAGTCAGTCACCGACCGTGGTCGAGTAAACACGTCTCATAAATATATAATACATTTTTTAAATTAAATTTATCCAATAATTTTATACCTAGAATTCTCGAAATAAATAAGTTTAAACCTACAAAGAAGAGTATTATACCTGTTCTTTAAATATCGTCGTGAATCAATCAAATTTTTACCGAAGACTCTTATACCTGCCGCCATCAAGTTGTTACCTGTATATCACCTATATCTGTTACCTGTATATCACCTATCAAGATGGTCAACACTAAAAGCCAGATGAGTCGAAACTCTTTTAATGATTCAGTTGTGGGTGAGTGTTAATTTAGATTTTACCGTTATTTGTGCCGAATGTATTTCTTAACGGGAAGTTAATTCCCAGAATTTATTGCTCAATGAGAGGGACAGACTAATTGCAAAGCTTACGAAAGAGCTGGCGATAGCGAATTCCAAGTTGCAAAGCATTAGCTCTAATTCTTTCAATGTGCAACGTGAAGTGAATGTAACATCCAAAAAAGTTAAAAGTAAGGTTGAACAAATCAAAGCGTCCACTCCACTTCCTTCATCCTTTTCCTCACCAAAGCCCAAAGTACTAATTTTGTTCGACAGCCACGGCAGATCCTGGTCCGGGTTCTTAAATGGTTTGTTAGGTCCTAAAGTTAGTGTGTTCGGTATGGTCAAAGCCTGGTGCGGGTTTTTCTAGCGTGGTCGCTGGCATTGGGGATCTGGTTGGTGATTTTGGTGTTCGGGATCATGTTGTTGTTATGGCCGGGACGAACGACGCTGACTCTGATTATGCTATTCGTGATGCGCTAGAGTTCGCCCGTCGATCATGCAGTAAAACAAACCTTTGTTTTGTTACAATTCCCTTTCGATATGACAATCATGGCCTGAATTCTAGAATTTCCCAATTAAATCGTTGTATTTATCGTGATTTTAATCATGGTAAATTCAGGGGTGTTAAGGTCTTTGATGTCAATAGATACGTTGATAGACTCGACTACACAAGGCATGGTCTCCATTTCCTTTCAAATGCAAAGCAGAAACTCTGTCGTTTTCTCGTTAGAGAAGCGCTGACTCTGCCAAATTCCAAAAACTCCCCCTCCTTTCGATTTTGATTCTGACGATGCTTCATCTTTTATATTTTGTCAAAATATTCAAAATTTACCCAATAAATTACTTAAAATTGAATTACTTTTAAATGACTATAAGCCTTATTTTTTATGCTTTTCGGAACATTGGCTTAACGAATCTAAACCCAAATTAATTAAATTAAACGGTTACTATCTAAGTTCCTCTTTCTGCCGAAATGATTTTAAGCATGGAGGCATTTGCATTATTTTGTCGGTTAAAATTAAATGTAATAACATTATAACAAATATTGCACCTGTTGAATTTTTTTTTGATTTTGCGCTGTAGAAGTCAATTTTTCTCATACTACTTATTGTATTATTTGCGTATATAGAGCTCCAGATCAAGATGCTAATAAATTTATACATTTACTTTATGCTCTAATGGAAGAACTTTTTTCATAAAATAACTATTATTGTTTGCGGTGATTTTAATATCCATCTGAACAAGAGCTCTAAAATCAGCGAAAGTTTCAAATCTAGTATGGATTCATTTGGTTTATTTCCTACCATAAATGATCCCACGAGAATAAGTAATTCTTCTTCCTCTTGCATTGATATTTTTTTTCAAATTTAACTGATATAAAAACATTTGTCATTAATACGGGTCTTTCTGATCACTACGGATTTTTCTATCTTTATTAAACAACACAACTTCACAATCAATTAATTACCAATATAAAAAAAAAATTTAATAATAATAATAAACTGTTATTCAAAGAATTATTAGAAATGAGACGTATAACCAATCTTATAAAAATATTACTTTTGATAACACCTTGATAGTACACACAACGCTATGCTACCATAACATTAAATATAGGAGAGCAATATGTGCCCCTCCTATTTCTTGTTTGTTAATTAATAGTATTTTATTATTTTACACAAATTTAGTGTTAATATCAATTTTTACATCATAATTAATGTTTCCTGTTTTTCCTGGTTTGGTATGTATAATTTCCTCTTTTTATATATTTATATTTATCATCACTTGTGTATTTATGTTAAATGTTTTTTTTTTAGATTACTGAATGATGACACACATCAAGTGTCGAAACGTATAATGGAATAAATATTTTGTTATTTAATCTTTTTTTAATTCGACGGTTGGGCTGCAAAAACATTTTCAAATATATATATATATATATATATATATATATATATATATATATATAATATATATATTACCGTACTATATATATATATATATATATATATATATATATACCACACATCTAATGTATATAAAAATGTTCAGTTTTCAATCGTAATACACACATGTATAAAAAACACACAAATATTATATGTAATGATATTACAACTAGTTGAAACAAAGCTTCGTTCGTTTCATAAAATACTGACTTTTTCACAGACGCTACTAGTGTTACATAGTAACGTCTTTTTTGCTAAGCTTTTCTGCACTTCA